ACAGACAGACAGATACAGACGGACAGATACAGACACAGACAGACAGACAGACAGTAGTTCAGGTACCAGTCCATCTGTTACAATTCATTCTCATCACGTTCAATTTAATGTATTTTTTTCAGGGTTCATTTGTTAAGAATCCGTTTTTTAAGGTTCTATGTTTTCAGTTGCAGACGGAACCTCAGTGGATGGACCAGAACCTGCAGGTGGCGCTGCAGAGGAGGCAGAGCACAGAACCAGTGAGTTCACTGATCGTGGTTGAAACGTTCAAATCCAGTACTGAAAGCTGTGGTTTGTGCTGATAAAGCAGCTCATATTCAGCTTCCACCCTCTGAGCAGCTCCTGTCACGTTTATCTTCACTGAGGTTCAGGTTTCACTGAAGTCCTGCAGCTCTGAGGAACCAGAAGCACATGAAGGAGGAGAGAGAACTCAGAGACGTCTGGTGTCAGCAGGACTCAGTCAGAAACAAGAAAAACATATGAATATTAAACGTTTTAACCCAGCAGCAGGTTTCTGGTTCAGAGGGCTGACCAGGTAAATCACTGAGTGCAGAGCTGCTTCCACACAGGACGCCGTGAGACCCACTCATGTCTGCTGCTCATGCAGCGCAGAGCGCAGCGAGCAGTTCCGACAGACGGTGGCCTCGCCTTCGATCACGTATGACCCGATAGAGACCACAAAACTACAAAAGAAACTACAGCACCGCTATCAGATACAGCCAGCAGCCCTACAGTTTAGTCCCAAAGGGTCCACATGCTTTGTCTTGCAACTGTGCCTCAAACTGAATTGAACAGTGCTGATGCTTGTTGCTTATCACCAGAGCAGCTCGTGTTCGCTGCATCAACGTGGCAGCTGCTGCTATGGGGACGATGACGTCGCCCCGCCGGACGCTTTGAAAACGACGCTGCTGGACTGGAGTACTGCAGGCTGCGTTAGAACAGTCTGGGATTAGCAGCAGTGAACTGAACCTCTGTGGGTCTGAGGTTCTGCTCGCTGCTGCAGAACTTTTCAGAACAAACTGCTGATGATGAGTCAGCTGGTGAAGGTGGTTCTAATTCTGGTGGAGAGAAATATTTATATTAAAGCAGCAGCAGAACCAGACGTGCATCACTAAGGTTTTAAAGGTTCTGTGTTTTCAGCCGCAGACGGAACCGCAGAGGACGGACCGGAACCTGCAGGAGGCGCTGCAGAGGAGGCAGAGCACAGAACCTGCGAAAACTGTGGAACCAACAAACCTCTGCGATCCTGCTGCAGAGCGTCTTCAGCCTCCAGCGAGGAGTCCACGACCACGGAGAAGGTGGGCCAGAGTGGGTCTGGTTCTGGTGTGTTGTGTGTCTGCAGCGGCTGGAGGTAATGCCATGTGTTCTGGTGTGTTGTGTGTCTGCAGCGGGTGGAGGAGGAGGAACTGTCGGAGCTGCAGCTGCGTCTTCTTGCTCTGCAGTCGGCCAGTAAGAAATGGCAGCAAAAGGAGCAGCAGGTGATGAAGAAGAGCAAAGAGCGAATCACGAAAGCTGCTCAGGAGAAGAGCTCCGGGTCTGGGTCGGGCCCCGGCACCGCTCCACCCGGCAGGCAGAGGGTCACCACCAGGTCGGCCTCCTCTGCTGCTGCTGCTGCTGCTGCAGCTGCAGCTGCTGCAGAGAGGAACCGGACCAGGTCCAAACCTGTGGACAGGGACCGGGACCGACCCAAAACCGGGCCCAGACTTCCGGAGAGGGACAGAGACAGGAACAAACAGGGTCCCAAACCTCCGCTGGACCGGGGCCGGGCTCCAGGAAAACCTCACATCACCAAGAAGATGATCAGTCCAGGTGAGACGGGTCAATTCCGGTAAAAAACACAAAACCACGAAAACTGAATTCATACCTTTATAGACCTACCTATGTTCTCCAGATGCACCTTTATAGACCTACCTGTCTGCCCCAGACACACCTTTATAGACCTACCTGTCTGC